GTGGTGGTGGTGGTGGTGGTGGGAGAACCGGCTCAGGACGATTAGAAGTCGTCTGGCTTTCATTCTCGCGTTTCATTACTAGGAGCAGCAGGAGGGTGCGTAGCAGTCGGTGTAGCAGCAGTAGGAGACGCAATGGTGGTGGTAGTAGTCGTAGCTGCTGCTGCAGCAGCAGCAGTCGGTCAAGAAGTTTGATTTTGGAAGGCCAACCAAAAGCCACTTTGGCAGTCTCAGACGAAGAAGATGAGCAAGGAAGAGATATTCTTGCCAGGAGTAGTCCAGGTAAACATACTAGCAGCACGAGCGCTGGCAGTTGCAGTTGCAGTTGCAGTGCTGATAAAGAGAGTGCTCGTAGGCTAGCACTGTGAGAACCGTTCCTCGCTGCAGTACATCCGGCTCGATGTTGCCAAGTGTTTCAAGTTAAGGGCAGCTTCAGCTGGAGGTACATTCAGGGCCATCTCAATGTGCTTCCTAGTGCTGAGATGTTATGGGAGTTGAGCAGCCGCTCATCATTATATGTGATGTGTGGTCGAGGTTTTGGGGCAAGGTGTTTTTGTAGTTTATTTTGGGCATACAGTCCGGCAAAGCTGTTTAGTGGGCTTTGGGATCCTTATCCTATGGCATGTTTGTTTGTCTTGGCCACTAAATCCACAAGGGTCTGCAATCCCAAGCTCTTATAACTGGTTGCTGTGGTCTCTTGACACCAAAGTCCACGAAATTCTGACAATTTATGAAGCTCCAACGCCCGATGTTGAATAGCACTAGCTTCAGCACAGCTCTCGTACAGATTGTCTGTACTGCTACTATGGTGCAAGGGTATATAGCTCTGCAGCAATGTCAAGACAATAAGAATGGCGACAGCGGAGCAAGATCAGGCTAACTGACCCACGCCATCAGCTGCGCACTGTACATGAATCATACAGGAAGATGGCTGCCGTAATCTCTGGGAATCTCCAGCCCTGAAGTTGCCCTTTGGTTAGAGGAGTGCACCGTTCCGCGCGCCTTTCAAACCACACGACACCCCGAAACGCTGTCCAAGCTGTGAGGGTCAACGCTTTCGTAATCCGAGGTCGTTCAAGTAGTGCGGAAGCGTGGGGTATTGTCAGCCATGCAGACTCCGGAGTCTCCTGGTAGCTAAGACCCCTCGAAACTTGATTCTGTACCGCGTTTGGACCTTCGAGTAAATGGGCATAGCGTAAAGCAAACGCATGAGTAGAGGTTTGGGTGCAACAGTTCAGGAGCATGCATAGGTTGAGTCGTCATGTTGATTCATAGCCACTGGCTTATTGGACCCGAGCGTTTCGAGGGATCAATCCACGAAAAGTCTTTCAAGGTCCGGGGCAACACCCCGGTTGCGGCTCGGCCAGGGAAAGCGCCCTGGAACAGCTGATTAAATGCCTCCGCTTTGTCTTGCTTCAAGCCATTCTTCAGCAACTCTTTGCTTCAATTCAAGGGTTGCCCTCTGAGCCGAGCTAAGCATTCTGACCCTTAATTGTTGCAAGGCACCCCGCTCAGGGGGTGACGTGTACATCTAGTGCTTTCCCGGACAGGGTTGCCGAACTCCCCATCTGTATCCAGCAGAAACATAGATTGGAAAGTGGCAGTCGTCTTTATTGCGGCAGCATGTTACGTGATGTATCATGATGCCACCAAAATGTCACATACCTTGGGCACATCGTGCGAACAGACATTGATTGACAGGGCGCATATGAGGTCTTTATAGTGCTTTATGCATATTATGTCCATGCTTTCAGATTCTGTGGTATTGTTGGACCCATCCAATGTTTGATGGGGATTGTGGGGTGGCTTCCAATGGATGTATCTCTCAATTACTCTTCTGCTTCAACACTGGTCATCGTAGGCTACTTTACCCACGATTGGCTGTTCATACAAGTAGTAATGATCAGATCGTCGTAACAAGTCTGGCCGCTGCCGCAAGCAAACGCTAGTAGAATAAGCTTGCAGCGGACAGGACTAGATACTAACACACGGACAGCAACCTGAGCTACTGGGAAGCGAAGAGATTTGAGTGGCCTGGCGTCGTTGGCGACCTGTGTCCGAACGAGCTCCGACTAATACTCCTGACCGGGATTCTCTTGAAACCCTGCTGGCGGAGCCAAATTCGCTGCGATATGAGTGCTTCCCATCGAACTAGCCTTGATGCCAAGCAGGTGATTTGACCTGCCTGGGGTTCAGAGAAATCCCCTCGGAGCGTTGGTAGTCATCTGTAGTCGTAGTGCTTGACGCCGGTCTGTGTCTGCTGCTGTCCAGGAGCTTTCGTGGAGTGAGATTCGTGGGGCTCTAGGAAAGAAGGGGTCAATCTTCATCAGGCTTAATCGCCTTCGCACAGGACAGGCAGAGTTGCTAATATCCGAAAATGTGGGAAGGTGCTTTAGGCATATGGACTTTTGGGCAGCTGGGATACTGTGTTGCTACTGCATCCACATGCACGATGTTGCTCCAGAGGACGCCGTTGAAACGGTCAGTGCCAACAATGCGGAGGCAGAGGACCCAAAAGGGGTGATACTCTGATACTCAGAGTGGCTCATAATTTGTATCTGGTATATATCCACCATTGCACAATCCTAGCCTGGCCCGTGTACCAACCTTCTATCTTCCCAACTGGTTCCTGTGTTGGAAATGGTTTGGGCTGCTGTTAAGGAACTTATTCTAAGTCACTATATAGGGGGAAGCTTATTAATGACTATGGTAATTACTAAACATACCCATTATCATTATGGTAACTTTATTTCAGTTCCTTAACAGCAACCCAGTGGTTTGAGGACATCTTCCACATCCGACGGCAAGGCCAAGTCACAAGCTTCGGTTGTAGTGGAGGACCGCCAAGGGGATTTGAAGGTTGGTTCAGAAGTAATGGGGACTCTAGGGTTTAGGGTTTAGGGCTCTGCACTTTACAGGAAATCTGTGGCTATGTAGCTGATACAGACAGCACTTCGCAAAAGGATTTGAGGTTTGGTGTTGGTGGCAGGCGATCAGGCAGCACTGACATACCTACTGCATTTGGGTCCGCTGGCATTCACAAGATCTTTGTGTCTCAGGAGGGATGTAAGACTAGCGGGACTGAGAATGGGGGGGCCGTTGTGTCCAAGCTTGTGAAGTACAATTTACAGGGCTCAAGGTCTTGAGGGAAGATACAACATGCAGAAGCGTCTTGGGATTGGGTCTGGTACTGCATGAACATCTTGTTGTGAATTCTTGTGGCTCCCTTCTTTGCCTAAGGCAGGTGACAAAATTTGGCGCTATTGCATATCTGCCCCTGGCCGATCTTAGAAACCCTTAATGACAGAGTCATCTAGCGCTATCATGACATGGGAGTCTGCCAAAAGGATGACAGGAAAGTAGCAGGATCCATTTTCGAAACCTAAGCCCTTGAAACCAAAGTGCTTTCAGAAGCCAGGCGGGAGGGAAACAAACTTCAGAAGGGGCTCCATGCGGCTAGCTGAAGAGGAGTTTGTTGAGGATGACTACGATGACAAGGCCGGAAACGTGAAGAGCAAGAGGTCCTGTCAGTCCTGAGATTCAAAATAAATTTTCCACGGCATACCAACAAGCAATTGGGGAAAACAATTTTCCCTAATTGTTTGGTAGTTTAGGGGGTATACCTTCCATCCATGTTGATTTGAGCCACTTGCCCTTGGAAAGCCTCTCATTCATGGCTTGCCTCCCACGGAGGACCGAAGTGAAGATTGGGACCCCTTGGGGCCTCGTGAGCGACAGACTCATGATCCCTCTAACTACAATTACCAATAGTACAGCCCGAGATTCCTGACAAAAGTATAAGGTACCTAAAACAGACCTGACAATGATCTTGGTAAATAAGTAGGGCCCCTATATTCCACAGCTTCTTCTTGGGAATCACTACGTGGTGGCTATCATCAGCAGAGAACATGCAAAACCACAGCTTCAACCTATGATTTAGGTTCATACGCCCTTTCAGACAGTGGTGCAAAACACAGCTTAGATGGTAGCAAGCGCCTGGGATATCAGCCTTTAGAGAGACGGAGCCGGCGTAGCTATCTAAGCATTCTGCTTGGTCTGTTTGAATCGCGAGTACTTGCAGCGTCGAAGGCCTTTTTGCTCAGTTTAAACCTGACAGTATGGTCAAAAGCTTAAACCGGCTTCTCTCAAAAAGCCAAACCTCAAAAACCTGGTGCAATGGCCTGCTATGTTGAATAGCCTGCCGTGGGGCGCCCCCATGACACCTTTCAGTGCCAAGTTGCATTGTAAGTGTCAGGTACCATTCAAGGAGATCATGGACAAGATATCTGAGGTCTGGGGCTTGGATTGGTAGCGGATTTTGCAAGTAGGGTTTACCCTGGCTATTGCCTTGTGGATACAAAAGGTTGTGGGCTTTTTCCGCTTGCAGCGCAGATTTATGACAGCAATGTCTTGGGGATGTTCAGCCCTTTACTGCCCTCGTTGAGTTGTCTTCCGTACGCATTGAACGTCGCGTGAAAGGACAGGGCAGGTTTTGCCCTTCAATTAAAGGATCTGAGCAGCACAGCCGAGTGCAAAACTCCAGCTGCTTTGCGCCGTAGAACACTGTAACCCGTCAAGTCGGCGGCTTGCGCGCTAGTTGCCCTGTGTTTTTGCAGGTTTTTCAGACTGTTGCATGTTTTTTTCAGGTGTTCTTCGGCCGCGGGGGGGTGCGGGAGAACAGACATCACTCATATTACGTCCATGCCCGAAACACTGGTATTTACACAACACACTGCGCCAAGGATGTGGAACAAGACACGTTGTCGCAAGCATCCATGCCTTTCGCGACTATGCCCAAAACACTGGTATTTACAGTGTTTTTGCGTCTTTGTACAACATATTGCACCAGGATGTGGAACAAGAAAAGCTGTCACAAGCGTCCATGCCTCTTGGCGACCATCCCTGAAAACACTTGTATTTACAGCGTTGTTGTTTCTCTACGTCTTGTGGGTTGCGGACTCCGGGTTAACAACACATTCAATCTCAGAAACCGAAACACAACGTAACAAAGAGTGAAATCTTGCCCTGACTGCAATAGTTTCCTGGACGTCCAACCTTGGTTTCGCGCCACTTTTACGTATATGAAGCAACAGGGCGACCTATGCGCCCGCACCGTAGTCACATGCAGCAGCGGGACGGAAACATGGTAGCGACTCAGGGAGAAACTTCGCAGACGGAGGCAGGTATGCACGTACCAGTGTTCAGATGTGATCATGGATTCTGGGTGCTCCCTATGTTGAAGCGTAAGATGGGCACAACACACGCATGCTATAGAACGAGCGTGCCCCCCACCACAAAAAGCCCAATCTAGTCATTCAAACTCCAGCTTCAACCTGTACTTGGTCTCAAGCAGAGGCGAACACACAGCGCGGAGGCAGAGACGCTGTTTCCGAGCCTGAGCTTCATAGACTAGAGCCCCTGCCGTATCGTAACCTGGCGTGCTATACTATACTCGTGCATTCAAGTACGCTGGGACACCTTGATTGCAGAGCTTCAGGGATCAGACGCTACTAAGTCCATATGTCAGTCACGGCGATTCCATCTTCTGAACAAAGCTCATCGCACAAATTCAAAGTTTTAGTTTATTAATGACCATGGCGTTCTTAGTGTATTTGCATTTGAAGGGTTAGCGTGCTCAGGAGCTCAGGGGAAGAATGGCTTAAAATTCTATAGCGAAGGTTGCCACTTGCTAGAGGGTTGGGGAAGGATATCCTCAGGATTTCTATTCTTGTTCATGGGCCAAACTCCGCTCAAACAAGAGTGACAATGAAGGTCTCCGTAGATCTTCCGCACAGTTTCAGGTTTATGTTTCACCATAAACCTGTTTTAGACGGCATGCGCGGGATAGAATCCCTGCTTGGGAGAAGGCAGAAGATCTAGAGTTGCCACCGCTGAGCTTGATCCAGATCCGTGACATATGGCGTCAATATGTAATTTTGTGAGCTAGATTAAAAATTGGTGCCGACTATCATGCCAAATGCCTGGCAGCTGAGTCTAGCACAGTCTGCATATCTCCGCAGCATGTAAGAAACATGTGGATGCTGGCAGCTTTGTTCACACGGACAATGTCAAGATTGGTCCCTGTGCCGCTCTGGACTGGCGACTGCCTACACCGCATGTGTGATATGACGATTACCCGAAACATCGCATCCAGCGCTCCAGCGCAGGCCATTATGTGCCAAAGGCCGGCGGCTGAGAGCCCAAATCTTGTAACCCTCCAGAAAGGCTTGGACTTCAGGTTTGAGAGATACATGATACATTCTGCGCCCCAGTGAAAATCCCCATTTGGCAACCAACACTTCACATGCGCAAGCCCCGCACGACTTTCTTCGCTCGAACAGTCCAGTTTTGGCAGTAGTTGGCTCCTCTCGGGATGCTCAATGATTGCTGGTGCCATTCCTTTGCAAACGCTCTCGTTTGCCATTGTAACTTGTCAGTAATGGCAATTTTGGTCAGAAGTTGCAGTGGGTTGCCTCTAGAGCACTGCAGCTTTACCGTGAACTAGAGCGGCCAGAGGTACTGCCTTACTTACACTGATTCCTGTGCAGCATGTTCAGCTGCCAATCTGCAGCCTTCTCCGCGTACAGAGGTAGTTTGTTCCATTATGTTCCATGAACTCTGGATCCTTGACTCCCACATACTTGCAAGCAGACCTAAGCAGCTCCTGAAAAAGAAAATGAAATCACTGATGGTTCTTCAAGCTCTTGCATCTTGCGGCATCTTGCGGCTCCGAACAGCAAGAGGCCGTAAATTCCAGCAACAAGTCCACGGAAGAATCCAGCAGAAGAATCTACTTCCTGTTTAGCTTCATTGTGAGGTGCTGCCAGGAGTCTTGCCCATTGGCGCGTGGGACACGGACAGTGAAGACGTCCTTCATCCTGCCCTTGCTCGAAAGGGTCCCAGAGTCTAGAGGCTTAGAGAGTTTCATAACAGGGGAGTGGTAGTTGGTTTACGGCACAAAGCTCCAAGAGCTCCAGAATCGAGCAGAGGGAATGCAATTCGGTTCTGGAACGCTGATGACTGATGGGTAGTCATGAAACCTTGCTTTTGGCGTTGTTCACATCAGGTTTGCAGGCTGCCCATAGGCTTGGGAAATCTGTGGGATCTTATGTGGTATGAAGATAATCCCCATGTAGCGCTACAATGGCTGGATATAATTCCTGTTCAAACTTACGCTTTCCTGCCGAGAGTCACAGCAGCAGGACAGTGGCGAGGAGGAGGAGGCAGAGCAGAAACGACAAAAATCGTCGCATTGCCCTCAGCATGTTGATAACAGTTGAGGAAGTTTCTCAATAGGCTTTCTATAAAGAGGGTGTAGATTCATACTGACATTGGAACCTACAGCCTCAGCCCACCAGCATGGAGATGAGACCGTAGCCCAGTCGCCATTAATCAGGCATTCCCTAGCCCTTTGCCCATGGCCGGAACTGAAGTCTCGAAGGTTGTTCGGTTGCAGAAGACGAATCTCTTAAGATGCGTCCACCTTCTCAGCAGAAGGAGTATGTGGACTTATGCGCCCTCGTGCGCAGTAGGCGTCGTATGGGGTCTACCTGGCTACCTTTTCTGCTTAACCATCTCCCGTATTCACCTACATGAGAGTTTCAACTCTGGCGTCACGTAATCTTCAGCGCTCTGCACTTGATGCCTCCAAATCTCACACCCGCGAATCAGATGCCTCCAAATCTCACACCCGCAAATCAAAGAGCCCGGACCCTGGTGTCCTCAGCTAGAGTTGCCCAGATGGTCTGAGGTCTGCTGCATCGGAGGAGGAGGAACCAACGAGTCCTCCTAAATCCACCAGGTGGGATTCTGCGTCTGAAGGGGTGTTTAGAATCCCAAGCCTATGGTTTTGATATTTTTTTTGGTGGATTCATAGGCCCTTGCTGGAAAAAACTGATACAAGACAACAAGAAAATGCTCAGGCTCTCCTGGGCCAGGTATGGAGGTCTAGCAGTCTAGCCTTTAGTGTTAGGGTCTAGGGTTCAACATCCCTGCTTGGAGTTTACCTACAAGGGCTAGACGCTGTGGAATGCCTAAACCCTGGAAGCGACCTCGTTGCATCTGGACAGATTTTGGATACATGTGGTGCATAGGGAGCTGTTGTAGGGGCCATGGACGGGTTTCAGGCGGTGTCCAATCTTGGACCGAGTTTTAGTGGGACCCGCAAAAGCAGAGCAGAGGCTCCCCAAGCTTTGTCGACAGGCGGGGATTCTATGCATAGCGCCATTGGAGTCTACCTTAAACGGGCCCAACTAGCCGACATGTGGGTGATAGTTGTTCTAGACGCCTGGTCGGCATTGTCACAGTACGTACTAGTCGCAGAAGGAGCTGGCTGTCTGCTCATTCCCAATCATGAATATGCGGAAGTCCTCGAGTCCTCGAAAAAGCATGTCGCGAAGCTCCAGTACTGAGCCCGTCGAAGCCTCGAGCATTCCAACCAGTTTGTGTTTCGCAGTTCTCTCTGCGCATCTCGCACATGGTATCTTGAGGGGACATGCTGCGCAAGTTTGGAATGTCTGTGTAACTTCAGCACTTGCCAACCCCGCTACCAAACAGCTTCATGCCCAAGAACAGTTTGATATCAGACTGACGGAGCTTCCGAAGTGCACTGTCTCCTGTTTACAGGGATTTGGGCCTTGAATTGGCGGAGTATTTTTTTTTTCTGGCTCTGGCGCGTTGGTTGGTGCATGTACTGATGCTTCTCAGACCAAGAAGGGTAGAAACCATGATATCCTGTTGTGCAAGTTAAACGTTCCTTGCAGGGCAAGTTCCGTATCAAGCTGGCCTGTGCTAATGGAGATGAGGATCAGTGAGAGAAAGTACATGCATGGGATGGCCAAGCGGAAAGCCCCAAATCTGGAAAACCGGGCTAATTCTCCAGACCCTTTAGCTCATGCCCTTGGTGGAGGCAGTCTTTCACACCACTTGGGATACAACAAGTTGGTGTAGTTCCTAAGCATTTTTGATGTCTCCATGTGTGAGCATGCTGCCAGGCCACCGATCCTCCCGGTTCCAAAGCCCACAGATCTCCACTGGAACACTTGGTCCAAGGCTGCTAGAATAGAGTATGCATTATGTAGGAACTATCTCGAGGTACGTAGTGAGGAGAATTTGACGGTCCTTCAGCATTATTCTACTTTCTTCTGCATCTCTACAAACAAGCCCAGTCTTCCCTCTCTGCACTGGGAAACCGCAAAGGGCAACTATTAGGTCAGACTACCCTCAGATTGAAGAGGGCAGTACTTTCTCGGATGCTGTAGGAGATCAGCACGCTCAGTTTCTGTATGTCCTTGACAAGTCAAATTGGGGGTGTCATCAGAACTAGCAGCAGCAGCTGCTGCTGCTGCCGCGGCCACTGGCACTGGCACGGCTACTGCCACTACTGCTAACACTGCTCACTGCTCCTCTTATTATCTTCACTACAATAATTTGAGGCTACTGCTTCTGCTACTGCTGCTACTACTACTGCTCCTA